GGAGGCATCTCTTACGACCAAGTCACAAGTGAGAAAACAAGGTCTTAAAAGGTAAGTGGCAACAAAACCAAAGCAACCTTCGGGAATGCAACTGTGGCAGCTCCATGTGTCCTGCATCGTGTCGATGCACCGACAAGTGGAAATGCCTGTACAGGAGCCGGCAGTCTGTCGGTGCGGGGTGAACACCGCTGTAGCCTGGAAGGAAGCGAAGCCACTGGGGAAAGCATTTGCACCCTAGTCCCGGGTGCGTTTCACCCCTTCGAGCGTGGCGCTTGCAAGAGCAGACAGGCCTTCAGTCCCTGGGTCGGCTTTAATTCTTCCACTTCTCCTTTCTTTGCGTTTCTCGTGCCCCGTGTCCCCGCAGCCGTTTGTCCCCGAGCGGCAGCTGGTGTGCAGGGCCCGGTGCCCCGTGCTGCCGCTGCTGGCTGCCGCGCCGGTAACGTGAGCCAGTTCGCCGCAGCCGAGATGCTATGTGCGGCATGTCGGGACGAGGAAAACTCGCAGCTTTTCTGTCTGGTTTTTGGTTCGCTTTAAATCCAAAATGGAGCAGTCATGTTTCCGTGGGTGTGAGAGGCCGGGCGAGAAGCGCACGCTGGGAGGTGGGGGCGGGGGGGTGACTCACTCCCTGTGTGCAGCAGCCGGGGCCAGCCCCAACGGCGCTCCTGGGCCGCTTCCTTGCCACAAAAGGCTTGAGCCAAAGACAAGGGCAAACGCCAGTCACCTGGGGTGGGGGGAAGAGGGCGGTGATAAATGAAGCGGGGGCTTAAGGTATGGGATGTTCCCTGCTGGGATTTAATGCCCCGAAGGACAGTGCATTTTATGTATTAAAACTGGATGCAGTTTTTATTACAGCTGGGCCCTGGTAAGCGGCAGGCAGTGCCCAGCCCAGCTCGGGGCTGCAGCTCAGGCCACAGGAGAGCCGAGCATCCCTCGGCGCTCGTAGTCTGGCTGCGGCCACAGGGGTCCGGGCTCCCCCCGGCGCTCGTAGTCTGGCTGCGGCCACCGGAGGCCACCGAGGGCAGGTCTCTGGGCTGGGGAAAAGAGCCTGGTGCCAAGAGCAGGCCTCACGCAAAGCGGCTTTTCCCTTGTTCCGCGGGACTGGGCTGTCCCTCCCTGGTCCCGTCGCCTCCCGTGCGGCAGGCGAGACCCTCTCCCCCCCACCGCCCTCTTTCCCCGAGGGACAGAACAAAGCCAGGTTTTATTTTAATCGTTTATTGTATAATATAAAACTACAAAAGTAAGACTGCTCATTTCCATGTACATTTGTCCAATTGTTTTTTTGATTACAGCCCATACCTACATGTGAATACAGTAATCTGGTTTCAGATGTATATGTCTGTAATATTGCATAGAAAAGGCACAGCTCTAAGGTCTGTGGGAGGGGAAGGGGAAATACAGCCTTTTTTCTTTTTTTTTCTTTTTTCCTTTTTTTTTTTTTTTTTTGACAATAACAAGCCCTGTTCAAACAACCATGCACTGAACATGTCACACTATTTACACCTTTTCCAGAATCCTGGCCTTTACAGGCGCTAGTATGGATTACGCTCAGAACTAGACAGGAGTCAAGGCTGGGATTTTTGTCTGCAATTTGTGTTTTTAAAGAGGTTCCAAAACTTGTATTAGGCTTACTTTCAGGAAAAGAAAAAGTGCTTAAAAAAAGAACTAATTTATTTTAAAATGTTCAGTCTCATTAGTTAATAGAAGCATTGAAAGCAACTTGCACAGAAGCAGGATACTGAAACCTGGTGGGGAAAAACAAATAAAAAGCAAACCCAAGAGAAGCCCTGTAACAAGAACAAAAAGTTCACAATATGCCAGAGTGAATTAAACCGTTTGTCAGACAGGGCCCATTACCATTTACTCAATTTAATGGTGATAAAAGTGTAAACTTTGGATTCAAAACATTGGTTTTAAACAACGCAGGCTATTACCCCACAGCATTGAGGGAAAAACCAAATTACCTTTCACAAGGTCCAAATTTATTCTTGCAGCGATTGCTTCAGACAGCGGCTTTACTGACTTGCTGTTCCTTGCTGGCTGCAAGGAAGGTGCCAGACTGACGCATCAGAACGTGACACTGCTCAAAGGGAAGTTCCCCTTCCTTCACGTACAGGGCTGCGCCGTCCCCTTGGGCTCTGGCAGGGACCGGTGGTGTCCGAGGCTGGGCTGGTCAGACGCAGAGAGCACTGCGGGTAGGTTGAACTCCAGCACCAAACCCTCCGCTGCACCCGCGGTGGGTGGTCGGGACTTCTCCTCTGGCCTCACCTTCTGGCAAATGAGGTGGCGTCGGCTCTGTCGCAACTTCAGGAGCTGGAGGTGACGTCCTGCAACTTTATTCAGTCCAGGACTTCAGCTGGGCTTCCCGTGTTTTTAAAAAAAAAAAAAACATCACCTTTTTCAAACATTTACCAGACCCGTGTGATGGAGGCAATGGCGTTTGCTCCTGGCTCCCGTTGCAGATTCCAGCAGAGCACCGGGGGAGGCCCGTCTGGAGAAGCTGACGGGGTAGGAGCCTGACTAGGACTAATTTTGAACATAAAACGGTCCCTCATCCATACCTTTTTTGCATATTTCAAACAACCAGACCCATATTAGAAAAAGAATGGAAAAAATTTAAAAAAAAAAAGTCATGTGAACCATGCATATCCTGACTGGAACTCAATTCATTTTCTCTGAATCTGGCTTCCATACCCTTTTTCATACAGATTTACATTCCTACAAGAGAATACATTCCTACCATACATTCTGTATATGTTACAATCCAGATGTTGTTAGCTTCACAATAAAATAAATATATTTACAGAAGGAAAAAAAAAAAAAGAATAAATAATTTATGAAAAACGAAACAAAACAAAAAATCACTTCAAATCCAAAGCTCTCTTATTCTGCTCCCGTCTTGTCACTTCATTGCACATTAATGTCAATCTCCATTCCTGGTGTAGGTCTCAAGAGACATTCCACGTGTGGCCGGACCATGGCAAAGGCCACACTAGAGACGGCAAATGACCATGCAGGGAGAAAGCCACAGCTGGGCCCTTCCCTCCACAGCCTGCTGCCGTTACAGACCAGCACCAGCCTCGCTAACCTTTTGCCTGGCCCCATAAGTCAGGTACATTTATGTCCTATGGGATTCTTCTGCCATAGGACGTGCACTTCAGCACCAAGGATACACAGACATCGCCTTCTGAGTGGTAAAGTGGATTTAGAGCTCGTCTCCTGTTCTGCAGATTCAAAAACTTCAGCTAATCCCATGTAAACAGCAGCACAGCTCTCCAAAAATGGCCTTGATGTGAACTTTTGCATAGCATGTGGCATTTGTTTAAATGTGTAAGTAATCCCAAAAAAACCAGGCAGCTCCAGCATACTGTAAATTGGTTTTTCACCACGGTAAGGCAGGTGCTTACCGAGTCACAGTGTGAAACTGTGGCTGTTACCGCCTGCCTACAGGCTTGTGCAGCCAGATGCACAACCCTTGCGCAGCTGAAGTCTTCCCAGTTACAAGAGGCGCAGATCCGGCAGGGCTCTTTTCCTACAAGGGCCGAGGACTGGGGCTGAGCAAGGTCCGGTCCCTGCTGGGTGTGAGACAGAGCCATCCCCCCATCCTTCCCCACCCCCTCGCTTCCGCTGGTCCCTAAAGCTATGCTTGGTCAATGGTTTTCTGTTTGAAGCAATAACTTACTTTTTTTTTTTTTAGTCCATGCAAGGAAATGACTGCAAATCCATCGGCCTCCCATTGCTTCACTGAGTTCCTTTCACTTGGAAAAAACAGAAGAAAGCAAACCCACCCCCTCAGCCAGTTCCCCCCAGCCCCCCGTCTCACCCTGGCAGATGAATTAGGAGCCAGAAGCGCGTTTTGTAATTCTACATGACGCGTTTCATTTCGATTAGGAGTTCCTTCATTGCAAAATGTATTTGCTTTTATGCTGTGTCTGTGTGCATATCTATGTTACATCTATCTATCTATATACTAATAAATATATATGGCCTGTTTTAAAGTGCCAATTTATAAAAAGGTGCCTCCTTAAAAGGCAGTCAAGACCCAATTTCATCCATGACAAGAAAGGAGCAGAATTGACTGAATATTGCCAAATGACATAAAACATAATTTAAAATTTCTTAAATAAATATAAAAGTTATTCCTAAAGAAGCCATAGGCATGTCAACAATATAGGTTGTAACCGGCGCTCAACAGCTAAAGTACCATTGAAAAACTAAAATGCCATAGCAACTTCAGCAATAGGCATGATACATTGCAAACATTTTTTTGTTTGTTTTTTTTTTAAATTAAATGTACACCACAAGGAACTTAAAAGATGCTACCGGTGCAGTAATGAGAAGACTTCTGCAGGTGTTAGGGGGAACGGGACCATGCATAGAAAGCTGTGTCTCTATATTAGTTGTAAAACAGGTCTATAAAGTGTAAAGCAGGTAACACAGTTGATACAAGAAACCAACCCTATACGAGATGCCAAGTGATGTAACACGACTGGCTCCAGTTTCAACAGCAATGGATATTGAAGCAAGTCCATCCAGTGCAGGTAAGAGATGAGCTTCACTGCAGTAATACTGAAGTTGCCTTTTTCAGCACTTAGCACAGTGAGGTGGGGAGAGGGAAGAAGAAATGCTCCAAGAAAGGGCGAGTGGACACTGTCAACACCAGTCTTCTGCCCGCTCCACACGCACGCCCGTCGGTCAGGAAGATTGCCGCGACAGGTTGGCTCTCAGTGAGCAACGGGCACGCTCCCCCTCAAAACCATTCCCAGGAGCTTCGGGTGAGGAAATGCTGATCTGCTGCCGTGTTAAGGCGCTCTATGTCAGGCGCCATGGACGCCCCAGCAAGGGGATGTGGGCGGGCCTGGGGGCACCGGCCCGGCGCCGGGGCAGGGAGGCTGCAGCCGCGGTGGCGCTCGGGACCTCTTCGGGTGAAGTTCCGCAACTGTTTCCTGCCAACTGCTTCACATACGTGTTGGAAAAGGACATGGCTCTAAGTTTTAGGAATCACAGTAGTGTGCAGTGGGTACAGCAGGGAGCAAACACTTGTGAAACTCCTACAGAAGCAGCTCCCAGCCCTTTCTTAAAGCACTTTTTTGTTTGCATTCAGGGAAACCGACTGCAGGCTTATTTGATCCAATTTTCTCTTTGCACCATACACATATAAAACATTACAACTCTGTATAAAAGTACAAGTGGTTCTTGTACATCTGAATTATGCAGGAACTATGTGAGCAAATCCTATCAAAATAGCTATTTTTTTTGTGTGTATAAACAGCATTTGTTTTTAGAAAAAACAATATCATAAACTGCAGAATCTGTACAAAAATATAAAATAAATTTGGGCAGCAGTTTCTAAACAGCCATGTAAATGCAACACTTAAAGAGGAGTAGGTTAATGCCTCCAAAAGGCTGAATTGCTAAGTCAACCTATACAGGGCTAAAATGGTATTGAGATTATCTAAATAATAAAATTTTTTACCTCTTGCAATAAAACTTATAGAAAAAATAGACAAATATGCACATGCAATTTACAGCTTTCCCCAACATAATCCTTGTGCTTAGCTTTTACAATTTTTTTTCTTTTTTTTTTTTAGTAACATAACATTGTCTACAATACATATTCTTCCTATACCAGGATATTCGGTCTTCCTTGAGGAACCACTTTAAAAAAAATACATTAGAAGTGGTCATACATGGATGAAGGCACTCCAACTCTGCTTGAAGCAAAAACTAGTGTGATCCTTTTCTTTTCAAAAAAGGCAAGCAAGGACGCATGCACAGTGCTGTGGGAGGGACTATGGAAATACTACCAAGTGTATATACTGGTACTTAAAAAAAAATTTTTGCTATATTTCTATATTTTAAGACCCAACGAGCACCTCCATGATGTGATCCAGTTCTGTGAGGTCCATTTTGAAAGGCTGATTTGGAGTTACTGGTTGACTGCTGTATGGAGCGAGAGTTTTTAGGAGCTCATCTGCTGAGACAGGAGCCATTTTTGAGGCAGCCCCCGTGGCAGACGTGCAGGGGTCAAAATCATACATGGACGTATCAATGTCAGCGAACAGAATATCATCCAGGGTCAAGTCTGTGAGGAAACCTGTGGAAGTTGTTATCTCAAAGTTGCCAGGTAGCGAGTCCATGAGTTTCGATTCGGCCGTTCTGCTCTCCGGGAGGCCCTCGGGCTTTTGAATGCTGGACTCGCTGGGGTGGTCTTTAGAGTCATCGGCTGCTATTTCGGCTGCTACTGCCTCTGTGGAGGTAGGTGCTGGACAAAGCTCCTCGATTTCATCCAAGGCTGAGGAGAAGCTGTCCTTTACTGGTTGGAGAGCAGGAGGGGGTGGTTTTGTCGGACCATCGTGCTGGACAGTCGGGGAAGTGCAAAAAGTGTCATCCTCGAGCAAAGAGGCTGGGGTGAGGCAAGACTCCAGGGGTGTAGTGCTTACGAAGTCAGTGGGGAGAAGGGGCTGGGAGGCGAGATGGCTGAACGCTGGCTGGGCCTCACGGAAGTTGTCGCTGAGAGGGTCAGCAGGTTGCGAAGCAGTCATGAACACGGGCCTCAAGCTGCCTTCTTGTTTGAGTTCTTCCTGGATTCGCCTCAACATGTTGTTAATTAAAACTGTCTTTTGCAAGCTTGGCTCGGTTAATGGCCTGTGGTTATAAAGTTTCATAAGGGAAATGTTGAAGATAGTCTGACGCTGTAAGGTGTAAGACACCTTAGAGGGACCGTCAGTAGGAGAAACCACTTTGCCTTCCAACCCATCTTCATGCTCGTCAAACTTCCGCTTTCCTCCTTTCCCCAACATATATCTGAAAGCAAAGAGAAGAGACTGATGAAGCCAGCAAAGCTTGAAGCCTGTTCTTCCTGCCCGAATCACTACCCCAGTCCACCTACTCTCTTGTACACATGGTGCGGACAGATTGGTCACCCTGTCCCCTCCTCACTTACCCCTCAGTCACGAGTGGAAATCTGTCCACATAAACAACTCTCTCTTGGCCCACAGCAGCATGATGAGGAAGCAGAAGCCACCTTAATGCAGTGTTCTAGTCTATCAATCATGTTTAAGCACAGCTACGCTGGTAAATTCCAAGCAGGAATTCAAACAGCATCTATAAAACTCAAGCCCTTGTGCATTTGCCAGCAAATTTCACTCTTGCATATGTTAAGCTTATGGTCCCCAAATATCTCTTCATAGGTGCACAAGCTACAGATACTATATTGAACGTTCCTTTAAACCTCCTGACTGATACAGTACTATGTCTGGGAATACAAACATAATCCACCGAGGTTCTTACAATGAATTTCCCTTTTTATTCAAAAGTGTGTTCATGGCGGGGAAGGGGAGGGAGGCTCAAGCAACTGTACACTGAGAGAAACCTTCCCAGTGAAGTCAGGAGATCCAACCCTTTGGCACACCAGGATATATGCATATCTGACCTCACGGGTTTATTTAATTGATCGTATAAGGACTAAACTACTAGAGCAGGAAATGTAGTTCTTACACTCAGAATTACATAAATTACAGATGAAGTCGATGATCTATCAGGTCAATTGGTCTGATCCCCAAGACCATTCTCTGTGCTATGCTCTGTTGCCGCAGCCAGGGCCTTCAATCCTGACAGTGCCTGGGTCCCAGTTTGAGGACAGGGGCATCTGTCTGGGAAAGCTTCGGAGGAGTTTGGTGTCTGCTGAAGCGTTGAGGCACACCCCTCCAGGAACCAGGCCCTGAGGAGCACCCCTGGTCCCACACTCTGAATCCATGTGGGAGAGGGAGTCCTGCCTGCCCCCTTGCGCTGGGGGGGGATGCACTGCGTCCCCACCTGCACATGAAGCAATAGCAGCTCTGACACAAGGGCTGGGGTGGGCCGGACTCTCACCCCCTGCTCTTCTGGGTACGGGAAGCCTTTTCACACAGTGGTGTTTGAAATCCTTTCCTCAGCTTCTGCCTGGCTAAGGAGATGCCAGCAGCCTTTGCTTCTGCTGGTAAGACTTTCAGGAGCTTGCTAGCCATGGACAGAATAGCTCTGGCACCAGAGCAAGGATGCATTGCTCCAGATGCACCATTGGTCTTCACTTCTCCCCCATCGAACATCCTCAGTCAGGACTACATCCATGTCAGGTTTTGTTTGAGAACAAAAGAATGCCATAGGGCTTTCTAAAGAACAAAAATCAGCATAAATGCATGTGCTTTCCTCTTGGTCAGATGGCAGATTTTGAAGAAGGAAACCAAGGGAATTGTACCAAACTTGCCCCACATCATAAATCATTTCTGAGCTCAGAGTAAGTAGGGCAGTTCAATCCCCAGTGCTGTCTCTTCCAGGATGTTTCAGAGCACCTGGAAACGCTCCTCTACACAGCACAGTCCCAGCCCCATTGCCACCATTATTTTTGTGACATGAAGGTCCCCCCAAACGCAAAAGAACGAAGGAATTGCTGTGCACAACCTAAAGTTACACGTCTGAACAGAGAGCTTTAGGGTCAGCAACCCTCTGCCCCACACCACTACCGATCTTCAGTGAGTAGTCAGGGTTTGATTTCTTGAAATACCCATGATACCAGGGGTCAGGGTTTGATTTCTTGAAATACTCTGGGTGAAACAGCACGGTCCCTGTGACAGGCACTTTTTTCAGCCCTTGTGAGATGGCAGGTTCCCTCTGACTCTCTCCCCCACTACCTGCATGGACTGAGTTCACCAGACAAGGTGTTTTACCATGTCTAAATCTAACCTAGAAGGAGCAGAAGCCATCGCTATTCTTTACTTGCCCATCCCATGGGCTGCATCAAATCAGCAGAGGAAAAGTCCTGCAGAGATGGGCTAGGATCTGCAGGAGCCTAGGTTACAGAGCAACACCCCACGCTCAGCCTGCTTCTGCGTCTTAGGGCAAACGTTTGGCTTTCCTCTCATTTTCCTGGGGGGTGTTGGAGCACGAACCCACTTGCCCTTTTAGCAGAATCACAAACTGCCCCCTGTTCATCCCGGCATCCTTCCCTTCACTTAAAAAAAAGCTAATAAAATGGCATGAAGATCTCTGCCTCATTTAAACAAAAAAAAAAAAGAAAAAAAAAAAGAAAAAAGGAAGATGCTTTCCAGCCCCAGCTACCCAGCTAGAAAGAAGTTGCAACAGACATATAAATAGATTTTTAACCCCAAACCTGACTCCTCTCATATGAGCTTTATTATACAGCTATTGCCTAGCTATCGTCTAGGAGACAAAACTCGCCTTCCTTATTTGAGTACAATTCCCAGTTCCCCCAATGGGATCCACGCCTGCGAAATGATTGCACCAGGCAGGTCTAACACCAATTTGATCATCATGCACTGGTCCTGCAGTAGCTAAAGACTTGCAAATGTCCCCAAGAAAGGCTGACAAACATTTAAAAGCAAAGAGCCTTTGCAAAGTAGAAGAGGGGGAAGAAGTCAGTGTTTAAATGCAAAAAGAAAAGAGTGTCAGAAAGCGTTTGCTGGAGGCTAAATCCAAAAATCGGATTGGGTGAAGCGAGCCTCTTCTGGTTAAAAATAAGTCCCAAATCCAGATCATTTTCTAGCATATTATGCAATTAAAAAAAGAAAGGCAAGGGGGAGGGAGCAAGCTGAGCGGAGCTGAGGAATGGGTAGGCTGCCATCCAAGCTCCTTGGCCAGCTACCAGCGATCCCTGCGCCTGGAATCTCGGGTGAACAAAACCTCTGAAATTTAGCACTACTGCCGAAGTCTGGTTTTTCTCTGCTCCCTAGTGTCACTT